AGTCTTTGCAAGATGCAGTAATGTTTTGTAGACGTTCCAGAAGAAGATGAATAAAAAATCTATGGGTTTTTGCTTTTGTTTCATTATGTTTTTTTTTCCTCAGGTTGAGTGTGACCAAAAACAAACTAGATTTAGCCACCACCGTTGACAAGAAACGAGTAGTGTCTCTGATTCACAGTTTTCAAATATTTTGTTACAATATGTTTATAAAAGTTTCTCATCTAATTGGCATATTCGTTTACGAAATTTATGTATTTGTTGAAATGGTCATCGTAAAAAGCTAGTTGGTGGTGGTGTATACTATATAATACTTTGTGATATGAAGTTAGTTGGCAGTGGTTCAAATACTTTGTCCCAAATCGATAAAATTTCAAATTCGTGATATGAAATTAATTGTAAACAAAAATGCACTATAGTTAAATGTATAAAAAATTAAAATCATTATTTACATTCAAGTTTTTTTAATATTACAGCAATATAATAAATTTGAAATGCGTTAAAAATCAAGTTGAATTTATGATACTTCTAACGATCAATTGAAATGAATTAAAAGATAAGATACCAAAATTGGGTCGGTTTTTACAATTATGCATGTTAGCATCCAAATTTGGTGATTAATCCAACAATTAAAAGTTATATACAATTGGTGAAAAAAAAAAAAAAATTCTACGAGTTTTTGTATGCTTTAAACTTTTTCGATTGTTAAAATAATTAAAAAAATTGAACGCTAAATTTACATAACGGTGAAAAATCAAGTTGAACTTATGATACCTCTAACGATCAATTGAAACGAATCAAAAGATGGGATACTAAAATTCGGTCGGTTTTCACAATTATACAATTTAACATTCAACTTTGTTGATTAATCCAACAAATCTAAAAGTAAAAAATCCTACAAATACCTATATGCCTTGAAAAAGAGCCTTAAGCCATGTTCTTCACGGTAGCCTTAAGCCATTCACGGTTTATACACAACTTTCAAAGAAAAAAAGGAAACCAAAAAGTTGATTTAGTAGATTTATAACATGAGAATTAAAACGGAAAAAACATACAATAGTACTATGTTTTTTTACTATAAACACAACTTAATTATTTGCAGAATAAACAAAAAATGAATTTTGTTACAAAACAGTGTTTAACCATAATTATTGCTCAAACAAACGATATAGACGAACACGAGAGGAAACTACATAATCTCTTTTCTTATTACGAAATTCTCGAAACTAAATATTATGGATCCTAAGTGTAGTTTCAAAAACTATTTCAGTGAC